ACAACAATATCAGCAAGAAGAGATGGTTTCTACAAAGAAGAAAAAAAGAAGATTGTAATGTAAACATTGTTTGCTTATATTCCTATAGATATAAGAGAAGAAAGTATTATTGTTATATCGATTATTAAAGTCATGCCGATGTTTAATCGCATGAAAGAAAATGAGAATTAAAGATCACATATGATATTATAAGAAACTAAATGTTAAGATATTTGAAATATATTTTCTTTTTCTACTAATAGAAATATTTTAAAATTAATTATAAAAAATAAAACTTTGAGATTTATACATTGTGTATCTAAATAAGCATTCAACCTACTTTCTTCGACAATATATTTTAATCCATATGCTGAATGATAAATGCAAGTAGTATTATAATAGCTATAAAATACTCTCAGCGATTGTTCAATCTAAAGAGTTTATGACATTGAATACTGATTATTTGACTGATAAAAGCTGACGTACTATTATACGATAAAAAGAAAAGAAATAAAAGAAGCACGGCGATAAGTCTATTTCTCGTTTCTAATTTACAAAATAATAGTATCGGAAAAATTCATTGTGAAGATATTTTGTATTTTTACGATTTTGACAAAGGAAAGTAAGGTATATTTTAGTTTCTTTCAAGTTTAAATTTCGTATATATAGATCTTTGTAAATAGCAAAAATAATTTCTATAATGTATTAGCGACATCTATGCATTTTTTTATTTCGAACATATATTATATTTTAAATAAATTGTTACCAATATAAATAATCGAAGGGATATTGAATATAAAACGGATGTCTTTATCAGATAAATACTATTTTCAAAGATTTTATATATGATTATTATTGTTTATTCATTCAAATTTGTTCTTCGCTTTTTCGTTCGTTTTCTCTATATATGATATATCTGACTGATTTTGTTTTCTCTTGATATCTATTTATCACTTGTATAGTAAGAAGTGAAACAAAAGTTAAAGATAATGTCAGATTTTGGTCAATGTAGTGATCCATTATGTACTAAACAAGATGTTCGTCTTTTTGATTGTGCTCATCATTGTATGAGATTAGTTTGTCTTCAACATTTAATTGAACATGATCGATTGATTGATCAGAATCAAGATTATTCTGATAAACTTCGTTGCGAACTTAAACAATTATGGACAACATATTCATTATTAATTGATGAAACAAAACTTCGTCTTGAATATGAACAAAAATTAGAAAAACATCAACAATTAGTACAAGATGTAACAAATCTATTTGAATATGATTTTGTTAATATTGAACGATATCACTCTGTATTGGAAATACTTAAACAAAATATTGAACAAGGAAAACAATTAAATCAAAATTCTTCAACATGTGCTTTATATCTAGAAAAAATTAAAAACGAACCATTGGATAACATTTTAACTACTAATGAACATAGTATGGATAAATATTATTTGTAGTTTTTTTTTACATCTTTTATTCATAGATTTCATTAATGTTAATGAAATATATCCAAGATTTACTGAAAAGTAAATAATGTTTTGTCTCATATTACTATTAAAATTGATAATATATTTTTATTAGATTCACTGATGATGACGATGATGATAAATTACAAAAACAATCGATTTTGAATAACGGCTATGCTTACCAAGTTGATAACATAACGTAAGCTAACATATTTTTATCTATATATATATATTGTATTCTTTTTCTTCTAGACAAAATAATATAACTAATAATTCAATGGTAAATATCTTTATTTTATTCTGGAAAACAAAGAATCATGAGATAAAGTACGATACAAGAGTCTTCACTCTAAGTATTCCAAGTGTTTTTCAGAATGGAAGTGACAAACAAGAAAACTAGATATATACAAAGTATCACAACTAATAGTTGATCCTCTCTCTCTCTGATTCACCGAGATATGATGATTGTCTCGTCTCGACATGGCATTTTAGAATCGGCCAAAAATTTTCCGCTCGATTGACATCAAGATTATTCAGCGATCAATCAATCGTTTCGAATGTCTTCTCCATAGGTACTACTTCGGTCTTCAACTTCAGTATTTGGAATTATTGTCTTGCTACAATTATCAATATCGATCGATTTTATACTTGACATAGCTCTATGTACCTCTCATTCTATCTCCTAGAAAGTTCCCGAAAACTCTCTTCAGAAACTTCCAGAGATCTGTGCGTAAAAAGCTGACTAGTGCACCTTACTCTACATTCTGACATTGTCAATTTATAGATATTCTTCTTAAATTACTAATGTAAGAATTAAGTCATATTATAAATTGTAATTTTTATATCATCTTATAACTATGGATATGTGTATATATTTCTTAGCAAAAATATCGATCAATTCGTAAAATGTCTGGTAAATGTCCATTTTGGTTAGATGGTTCATTTGGTTTAACTGAAAATTTTCATGGAATGTATTTATGTTCACATGGAAGATATTATCAAGATTTCTTTCGTCATTTACTTAAATTTCATCAATTAACTTTATCAGCAACAACAAGAATTTGTCATGCAATTCAAAATGATGAAGATTCAATAACAAAAATTTTATTTCAACCAAATGATATTGTAATTGATCGTACAACTCGTTTCCGATGTCCATTTAGTATTTATAATAGTACATCATCGATAAAACCGACTTCCAATGAACGTCATTGTCGACGCGATAAACCACAATTGGCATATACATTACGTTGTCATTTAATTCGTTTTCATCGTATGAAAACATCAAATGCAAATAAACTTATCTGTAGATCAAAAGCTAATTTAAAACATATTCTAAATTAGAAAAAAATATAATCCGTGTGTTGTTTTTATTTTTCAAAAAAAATTAGAGTAGAATTATTTATGATAGTCTATGTGTGTCTGTGATTTTTGTTTTTGTCTTTCAAGATAAATAATGTCGGACTTGTCAGGTCAATGTGAAGATGAATTATGTTTAAAAAATCAATCAAATCATATCGTACGTGTATTTCCATGTTTATATCATTGTAAAAAAATGTTATGTATTAAACATTTATCTGAACATGATAAATATATTGAAAAACAAATACAATGTCAAAAACAATTAGAATATGTATGGAATAATTATATTTTATTATTTAATGAAGATAAAATTGAAGAAGAATTTCAAAAATTAAAACTTAAACTTGAAAAATATCGAGAATTAAATGAAAGTATTCAAAATTTATTATTAATTAAAAATTTTCATAATTCAAATGAAAATAATCAAAAAATTCGAATGGCTATTGAAAAAGTACAACAAGCTATTGAAGAAGAAAAACAATTACAATCAATAGTTGGTATGTAATTATTTGATTTAAATGATAAAACGATAAAAATTAATTATTCATTAGAAAATATTAATCCGAAAATCGAATCAGTAATGAATCATGCCGCAGAAAATCAACGAATTATTGATTTTGGTAAATGCATAGTTTTCATATGTGAGCAAACTAATTCCTCTTTGTTTTTTTTAGTGTCTTTGCCTTCATCGATCACGACTAATGATGGTAAATAATAATTATATATGCATAAAAATTTGCGAAAGCGATGTTATTTAACGATAACAAAATATTGCCTAAAGAATAATTTGCATGTGATCATTCTATTTTTTTTTATGTGTTTAGGATCTGAAACTGTCGATTCTTTACCTTCGATACTAAATACTAATGGAAATTCGCTGTAAGTCATATATGATTCATATGATTTTTGCATTGAAATTCTTTTCTTCTCTACAGCTCAATTGAACAAGAGAATGGATATGTCTCATATGTAGATCAATGTAACTATGACATTTAGATTTAATAATTATTTTGTTATTATTTATTTTTATTTTACAGTTAATGAATATAGAAATTCAATTGAATCGGAAGATGAAGATAATACAATGGATGATAGTTCATTGAAGTAAAAAGAAAAGAAAATATTTATTATATCAATTCTTATTTGTTTTTTTACTTAGCAAAGTTGAAATTAACCATACAAATAATGTAACTGTATGTTAAAAATGAATCATTTTAATATAATAAATTATTTTCCATATCATTTCTAGCCAAATCGAAGTATTATTGCATCCAAATTACGTGGTTGTTGTCCATTAACACACGATGGCGTCTTTGGTATAAATTGTCATAAACATGGAATACGTTTATGTCCATCAAAACCTTCTTCAAATCAACGTACATATCGTTTACATCATCATTTTCGTCGTGTTCATCATTTAACATCATTAGCATCACTTGCACTTGCACGTGCAATTGGTGCTGGACAAGATCCATTGACTACACGATTATTTGATGATCATCATATAATTTTAAATATTGATGAACTACGTACAGTTAATTGTCCAATACATAAACCATTTGTAAATTATCCATTACTTCAAATAGAAAATACACCGTGTGATACAATAAAACAAGTTCGACATCTTAAAGATCATCTTAAACGTGCACATCGATTTACAAATAAAGCAGCAAATCTTATTATTAAAGCAGTTAAAGATGATATGTCAGTACATATGATACAATTTCCTCAATGGATTGATATTATTGAAGATGATAATCATTTTTGAAAACTTATTTTTTCTTTTTTTATTTCGTATACATTTTTTCCAAGAATTTCATTTTGGTTTTGTTTTCTTTTTTTTTGTTATGTATATTATTTTAAAAAATGAACAGATTTAAATACAAATTGAACAATATTAAACTTAACGAACATTTTATTTTTTTAATTGATTGTTCATTACCGATCGTAAACAAAACTTTATTTGACAGATGAAGACAAAAAAAAGCTTTTAGTTTTTTTTTATGACATTTAAAATCGGCTGTCAAACTTTATCGTTGACTGTCACAATTTATGATTGATCACTGAAAATAAAGAGAGAGAGAGAGAGAGAGTGGAAAGAAAAGCAAGACATCCGGTATGAAAGAAAAACGACTGAAATAACAAAAACACCATTAATCGTAATGGTTGACAATATCCAAAACTTGTCCTTGAACGAGCTAGATGACTTGTTTGCACGGCAATCTAATGCAAATTATTGTCAGTTTTCTTAATGTCTTTTAAAAATACAATCATTTATACGTCACAGCAGTCAACAAGGCAATCATCAAATCCATTATTCATGATGAACATTTTTCTTTTTTCTTTTTGCCTTCTTTCTTTATTTCATATGAAATCGGCATGTTATCGATTTCTTATATTAAAAGGAAATGCATGCGTCTGTCGGTCCGCGGAGGCGTAATTTATTGAAATGCTTTGTCTATATAAAACCAAGCTACTTTGATTTTTCCTTACAAAAAAAAAAGAAGAAAACAGTAATCTTTATTTCTCTAACAAAACAATAAAGTGTTAAAGCAGTCATGGCTACTTCATCAAACGGTACTTCAAAACCATCATTTCGTAAAAGTTATTCTATTGAATATGGATATAAACCACGAAAACGAACATTAATTGCTGATGCTGAATTTGATCGTGAACAACACGATGAAGTACAACATAAACTTCAACAAACAAAAATTGATGAAGAAGGAAAAGATGAATGTACTTATACAATTTTAGTTACGATTAAAGATAAAAGAAGTGCATCAATGTTAAATTTAATTAATACATTTAATCGAGATGGTCTTAAGGTTAGCCATATGGAAACACGTCCAGCGGCTGGATCACCAACTCAAAAACAATCATCGGAAGGTAAGAATGTTTACTTTTTCGAAAACAATACATAATCTTGTTTTTATTCATTAGGCCTTGATGTTTTTATGGAAGTTATCTGTACAGATAAACTTATGGATGATCTTAAACGAGGTTTATTACAATCTGATTCAAAATTTGTTCTTAAAAATATAAAGGCTCATGCATCATCATCATCATTATCATCAGGTAAAGAATCAAAAGAAAAAAATACTGAAAATAATACAAGTGATATTATTTGGTTTCCAATGTCAATATGGGATCTTGATAAATGTCATCATTTACATACGAGTTATCAACCTGATATGGATTCACGTCATCCTGGTTTTTCTGATAAAGGATATCGAGCACGACGTGAACATATTGCTCAAGTAGCATTTTCGTATCGACATGGTGATCTTATACCGAGAGTAGAATATACAACAGATGAAGTTAAAACATGGACGTAAGATCAATATACATGAGTAGGATTAAAATTATTTTTTTTTCAATAGACTTATTTATCGACAATTGAAAAAACTTTATCCAACAGCAGCATGTAAACAACATATTTATGTTATTGAATCATTGGAAAAAGAAGGCGGTTTTTGTGAAACAGCTATTCCACAATTAGAAGATGTATCACGTTTCATGAAAAGACGATCAGGTTTTCAACTTCGTCCTTGTGCAGGTTAATATATTACATATAACTTAACTAACTTAATAACATTTAACATATAGGACTATTAACCGCTCGAGATTTTCTAGCAAGTTTAGCATTTCGAGTATTTCAATGTACTCAATATATTCGGCATCCATCATCGCCACTTCATTCACCTGAGCCAGGTTTAATAATCAATCAAGTTTTAAAACTTGTTTCATTCCATTTTATTTAAGATGTAGTTCATGAACTTCTTGGTCATGTTCCACTTCTTTCAGATCCAAATTTTGCCCAGTAAAAGAAAAATCATTTTACATATATTTTAAATATTTTATTTGCCTATAGATTTTCGCAAGATATTGGTTTAGCTTCATTAGGTGTTAGTGATGATGATATTGTTAAACTTTCAACACTCTACTGGTTTACTGTTGAATTTGGTTTATGTCGAGAAAATGGACAAGTTAGAGCATATGGCGCAGGTTTGTTTGTTATTATAACTCTCATTTTCTTCTTATTTCCCACAATTCTTTTCTCTCTCTTTCTCAACAAGGTCTTCTTTCATCATTTGGTGAACTTCAACATGCATTATCATCAAAACCTCAAATAAAACCTTTCGAACCAGAAACAACAGTTATTCAAGAATATCAAGGTAATAATAATCAAAACAAAACTTCTATTCTAGTGAATTATTTTCTCATCTTGTTTCTTTTTAGATGAAGATTATCAACCAATTTACTTTTTAGCTGAAACATTTGAAGATGCAAAAGAAAAACTACGTTTATTTGCAAAATCATTAAAACGTCCTTATGAACTTGTTTATGATGCACAAACACAATCATTACAAATTCTTGATAATGTCAAAGTTATTCATCAACTTAGTAGTAAACTTAAATTAGACATGGATGTGCTTGAACATGCACTTGATCGTCTTCATAAGAATGGAATCAACTTTCGAGTTATATGATAAATGAAGAAAATCAATGATTTATATTAATGAAACATATAAAAAGAACAAAATATCTTTTTTCTTTTCTTCTTCTTTTAAGAATAAAACAAATAAAATGAAATAAAGACACTAAAACATCATTATGATTATCAATTTCTACTTTTAAGTCATAGTCGTATTGTTATGATATGAGAAATATGTGAATACATTAAATTATGGTGCTGATTATCAAAGAAACATACCAATACTTTTACTAACTATTGACTGATAACTAGTTAATGATGATGTTTTTAACATACTCCATGTAGTAAAAAACACGGTAAAAATGAGCTTAGAATCGATTAGAGCATGATTAAAAATTCATTACAATCATACGCTTTTAATCAGTTTTCAGCCGATTTTATTCAAAAATAACCGAAAAAAACAATTATAATTTATTTTTTTTTATCAGATTTTAATTCCTTATAACCAGAATTCATCCTAATAGTCAATATTCATAAGAAAATCCATAGTAGTATTTGAACTAAACACTAACTTTTGAATATAATATATATATATGTATAATATTGTATTAAAATTAAATTAGCTCAATATGGCTATAAATGCAGGTATATTTATTCGACGTTATATTTTATTAGAACTATCAACTGTCATTATAAACTCCATTAGTAGAATAGACAATGGCATCTTTATTCATAATTTTCTTTTTTTTATTACCACTTATCTCTTTCATTAAAATCATTAAAGCAGTAAGTCAAACTCAGCAATAATCCGTGAAGTTTTATACTAATATAAAAGCTAGACAGTGCTGACGTCAATGCACTATGTTTTTATTCTAATTGATAACAAGATGTATGAACGAACATGTTCAATTTGTTGTTGTTGTTATAGTTTATTATTAGGTCTACTAATGAGTGAAGAGAAAAACAACTATTGCTTTTTTCAACATGTATTTTGCTTTATAAATCTTCTCTCATCATTCTTTGACAATTACACGCTTTTATTCATACTTGAAATAGATTTCAAAGCTCTAAATCATATTAAATCAAATATGATACTATGGATATAATAAATGACTTTAGATGATTGTTTAGAACTAAATTCTTTTATTCAAAATCATGATCGTATTTAAAAGAAAACTAAATCCTTTCTTTTTGTGAGCACATATATTGATTTACGATGAATAAATACACTATGTAATACAACAGTCTTATTCACTGACATACAATTTACGAAACACAACAACATCAAGTAAATGATAAATAAAATATGTATATAATTGTTTTATTGATTGAATTCGATTCATTCAACATCATTGTATATGTAACCACTTGATGAATTTTTCTTTTAAATATTGTCGAACTTCATGATTATACCAAAGTAGATCCAAAAGAACGATTATGAAACTTATTGCAGCTGGTAATTGCAATAAATAGTAAAGCCATTCCGGCATATCACTAGTTAAACCAGATACTGCAGCAATGTAAATTGGTGACCATCCAGTCATATATATGATAAAAACGAAAACAATGTGCTTTAGTAAACTAATGTCTCGTGAACTTAAACGTTCAGTAGTAGAACTACCCGATATGTTTGCTGCAATGGTGTGGACACGACGACTGGATGCTCGTACAGTGAAATATATGATTCCATTTGAAATTGTAAATATAACTGCTGGGAGTATTAATACAATGAAAAATTCATACGGACCTACCAATGGGACCAATAGAAGATTACCCTCTATATACACCTAGAAAAAATAGAATTACAATTTAAACTAACTATTGATTCATAGTCTGTTGAATTATTATTTAAAAGTCATATTTACCATGTAACACGCAACAAAAACTGGTACAGGTAAAATAATGGCTAGCATCCACTGTATACCAGCTGAGATGAAACACCATGATAGTTTTTTGAAAAACCTCTTCTGTGGATAGACAACAGCAAAACATCGATTGACACTGATTGTTACAAAGCCATATACAGCTAAACAATCAAACATTGAATCCCAATATTGAGAAAAAACACGCAGCAAAAAGGTATTTCGAAACGATGCAACAAAGAAACCTTGTAAGACATAATCAATAATCGTATAAGTTGAAGTGATCAATGTTAATAAGCAAAGATTCGCTGTCAAAAGATTATTTACATTATGAAAACGTCGATTAAAGATAACTGCTAACAAATAGATTACAGCAAGTATAAAATCGATTGATAGTATCACGATCGTGATGATCCTTACAATGTGAACGGCGTCAATCATGTTGTTGATTTTTTAAATGATTGTTTCTGTTAAAGTAATGATGCTTTTCTAGAGATAACTACTAATATTTTTCTAAATGGAAGTAAATTGAAATGAGTATTCTCGATCAGAGCATTAGTGTGTTTTTTCTTTTTTTCTATTATCAAAGTTCATCAGAGGATATAACTAGAAAATAAAAACTTTACCGCGTTCGTGCATATGTAGCCTGGAAAGTGTTTTCCGCCTCATCTCTCTAACAGCACGAGACAATATATTTATAATACTTTAATGGTGCAGCATAAATATATGTCATAGTGAACGTGAGATTTCAATTGCGTCTGAAGTTTGGAAAGAAAAAGAATTAAAAACAAAAATTCAGTTTGAAAAAAATCTATTTTGTTGAAAGAATACAGTGTTGGGACTAATATAATACAACTGACTTGTGGAGTACTTCATAACGAAAGTCAAATTGAAGTTAATGGATGCAAAATATAATAAATGAATATCTTATGTAGATATTAGTATATTTTTCTTATTTTAACAAGTTTATAAAGTGAGAGATTCTTGGAGTATATATATATATATTTACATTAAAGAAATAACTTGATAGTAAACAAATTAAAGTCAAAGAAATGAAAAAATGCAGTGTATTGATATGTTTAATGGAAATTTTTATGAAAGAAAGAACAATAAACAGAATTTTCGATCATTGTCAATTGGTAAATGTCGGTCATCATCAGTAAAAAACGACAAAATAAGAACAAATATACAAACATAAACACAACCTAATCCATTGATGTTAACATTTATATCATCATCATAATAATAATTATAATTCTATAAGTTGTTTGAAAACATCAATCAAATAAATAAATAATTCAAATTTTAAAGTACTGCTAATTTTCATTAAACATATCGATACACTACATTTTCTCATTTATATATTTATAAATTACCTAACAACTTTGCTATATCGATAGTATGAAGCACCCTTGAATAGAATTCTGATTCCCGACATTATCCTTAACTTCTACGCAAGATAGTTGAATTAAAAACGAACTTTTTCTTAATTACTCAAATCTAATCAATTATTCAATATAATAATATTCTCACTGTATAGAATCTAATATTATTTCATTACAAACTGAAAATATGAATTTGATACCAATCTTTACAGAATTCTCTCTTAGATCATTCAGCACAATGAATGATAATAGGTATGCACAATCCAATTCTAGCATTGAGTTTGACAGGATTTGATTGGAATTGGATTTAGTTTTACATTAAAGTTAGACTTGGATTTTCTTGAATTTAATTTTGACACAAATTTTTAACGAATCCGGATCAATTAAACGTTACATCTTTTAGAATGATTATTCGATTTCTGTATAAAAACTGATCAAATACGGTCAAATCTTCATAGCAACTATATGCAGTTTCGTTCACTCTTTCGTATACTAGTATCCAATCTTGTCTAATATTTAAAAAAAGTTAAGATTTGACAGTCAAACCCAAGTCCAACTCCGGCCAAATTCAAGAAATGGATTTGGTGAACATCTAAATGATAATATGTATGAATAAATTTTCTTGTAATAAAACAGTCGTATTTCATATTTTAAAGTCAGAAAAATGCCATTGCGAAGTAAGTTACATTCTATAATGATTTTTCACATAATAAATCCTAGTGATCTTTCATACGATCTTTGGTCTGATTGTTTTGTAATAATATAGAATGTCGCTAAATATTATCATTTTACTATTACTATAAAATTCAAAACTTAGAATAGATGAATAAATACATCGTGACAGATTTCTTTATGTAGTTTACTGATAGATAAAGCATGATTCTTAGAATATTTTTTGTGAATACTGAAAGAACATTAATGTAGAGAATATCAACACTTCATTTTCAAATAAACCATGTAAATTTCATTGATTCATTGAATTGATGTCATTTGTGACAATATCAATACTCACAATACTGTCGATATCGACCTTTCATTCTTCTAATGCACTTTTTTCTAAACTTGTTTTCTATTTCTCTAATCAACTCAACTAATTTATCGAAATTTATATTACATCACTACCAATTTAGTCTTAAATTTCTCTTTATGTTATTTCATGGAATCAAATTAAAAATTAAATACAAATTTTATGACTACATATTATTTAGTTTTTCTTTCGCATTTTTGATCAATAATGACAAAGTAACAATAAAAGCTAGCAAAAATATTTCCATAAAATGGATTAACATCATAAGAAAACAGAAAGAGCTAGAATATTATATTCAACTTTTTATGTATATGTGTTTATATCAATCTAATCGTTTTAAAAACGAGAATCTAACAAGCATGTGTAAGACTCTATCTACATTTTGGACGCATATGAAATAGTATATACGAATGTTAGGGGTAGATATCACATTTGCCGAAGAAGATGTTGCGTGATCGAGTTATTTTCAATGTTCTTTCGATGTAATAATAAAGAGTCAAACTCATGAACTATATATATTTACAATTTCCTACTTCGGAAAAGGTTCACTAAATTTAAAAATCATGATATTGAATGTTATTTTCTATCAGTATCTATGATTTTAATGTATCGAGACATTTTTTGACTAAAATACTATTTTCTGTTGAATGGTACATTATTAAAAGCTGAAATTTTTACCAAAGATCTGCCATATACTTATTTAAAAAAGGTACAAAATCACGTCTCAATCTCTTACCGTTATTGAGAAATCAAAGAAACAAAACTGAAAATCTGTCGGGACATTTAGAAGAAAAATGGTACTACAACTCTCTTTTCATAACTTTTTTATTTCATTCAAAAGACTTTTTGAAATATTTTTTTATCAAAAAATTTCTCACTCTTTAATGTACAAAAGTAAAAAACAAAACTCGAGCTTCATTTGAAATCGGCTTTACCAGGTTAAACTTAATCTCTCGGTAAAAAAACTGATCAAAATGTATGTCGAGAGAGTTTATGCAAGATATGGTCATCAAATTATGTCTTTACACAGAAGACGGTCTTAGCTATAAAATGGTTGTAAAAAATTATTTTTATACAGTCGAAGTTGTACAAATAAGAAAGTCATTTTTTCGACTGATGTTGCTAAAATGCACTAAACTTAACCTTTTCTGCTCGAAAGCATCAACACTACAGTATTCTAATGGTTTGATATTTTTATGGTCAGTGACAGTTGGTTATGAAAATCATTTTATAAAAATTATCCAAATCCGTGGAATAAAACCTAAAATATAAGCATTTTTGTGTTACAAATGCAACCGTACAATAACGGCGCCGTTCAATCAGTGCCGTCTGAACTAAACAATAAGTTCTTAGTAAAATATATATTTACAATATAATCTAAAAGTTATATTAACTCAGTATGATTATACATATATATTCTTTTATGTGCCATATATTTTATTAAAACTATCAACTGTTGATATGAATTCCATTAGTAGAATAGACGACGACATCTTTATTTATCAATACATTTTCTTTAATACTCATTATCTCTTTCATTAAAATCATTAAAGCAGTAAGTCAAACTCAGCAATAATGCGTGAAGTGTTATACTAATATAAAAGCTGAACGATACTGACGTCAGTGCACTATGTTTTTATTCTAATTGATAACAAGATGTATGAATGAGCATGTTCAATTTGTTGTTGTTGTTATAGTTTATTATTAGGTCTACTTATGAGTGAAGAAAAACAACTATTACTTTGTTCAACATGTATTTTGCTTTATAAATCTCCTCTCATCATTCTTCGACAATTACACGCTTTTATTCATACTTGAAATAGATTTCAAAGCTCTAAATCATATTAAATCAAATATGATACTATGGATATAATAAATGACTTTAGATGATTGTTTAGAATTAAATTCTTTTATTCAAAATCATCATCTTATTTAAAAGAAAACGAACTCCTTTCTTTTTGTGAGCACATATATTGATTTACGATGAATAAATACACTATGTACTACAACAGTCTTATTCACTGACATACAATTTACAAAACACAACAACATGAAGTAAATGATACACAAAACATATATATAATTGTTTTATTGATTGAATTCGATTCATTCAACATCATTGTATATGTAACTACTTGAAGAACTTTTCTTTTAAATATTGTCGAACTTCATGATTATACCAAAGGAGACCCAAAGAAGGACCATGTAACTTACTCCAGCTGGTAATTCCAATAGATAGTAAAGCCAAGCTGGCATATCACAAGTTCTGTCTCGTACGAATAACGATCAGTAATTTATGATCTGCAATTAATGCAACTATCATTTTCACTTTCAGTTTCATTAGCGTTCATTAATGAGAGAATCTATTTTCAAAATCATCATTAGCGATAGATATGAATATTTCGAAAACAAGGTAATTATTCTGTTTTCGTTCGTTTAACGATCAGTAATTTATCATATGCTATTAGTATAATTATCTTTGCA